CACCCGGGGGTGGGGGGTGGGGGTGGATGGGTTGTCAGCCTGCTGCGAAGAAGGAGGAAAGGAGAGAGGAAAAAGTTCAAAACTTATTTCTAGTGGCAGAACAAGCTGGAAGATGGCTGATGTTATTTTTTTGTTTTTTTAAATCATCCTACAGGCTCTGACATGTTAGATAAAATTGAAAATGAGGTTTTGGAAAAATCCATAAGACTTGAAAAAAATCATGAGATTGCTCTATACGCCCGTATACCTGCAAAATGACGTAAAATCCTTATAACTTACAGACAATCCGTACAAGTTGACATGTATGCTTGAGGGTAATCCAAAAATACAGACAACAAAACAGGCACCTGTGATTTCTATTGTCATGTGTGGAGTCTCTCAGATTTTGAAAATCAGGATACTATTTTAACATCTTACTGCGTAGACCAAGCATAAAGTTGAATGTAAATTTTTTCTTCTGTTCAGCAAAGATAATGGTAAATGGACTGTACCAACATAGCGCTTTTCTATCCATCCAGGACACTCAAAGCGATTTACACTACAATCTTTGCCCTCATTTACCCATTCACACAGCACTCTATTAGGTCTCTACAAAGCTAACATGTAGAATCATCTATGGCAGGGCTATTCAACTAAATTGCTCCAGGGGCCACAGTTACTGCCGGTCAACAGCTGAGGGGCCGAACATCCAGCAATTAAAGTCATTATGTAAATAAGCCGAGTATTATAAAGATCTGTTACCTTTGAATTAGTTTATTTTGCTGCATTTAATCATGAATACAACATACAGAACCCTAGACAAGTAGTGATAAACGTTGTCTAAAACAAAAAGAACACATTCTGCCTCCTATTTGACACAAATATTATTTTGACATCTCTGACTTGCCAAAATTTTAAACCTATTTTATTTTCACTTTCATCATTTTATCTTCAACTGCTTGTGGTTTTAGCTGTCTTCAGTGTACATAGAAATGGTTTTTACCGGCTTCTAGCCAAGATTCTGTCTTTTCTGTAGATACCAAACATGTCCATGTTTATCTTAAAGAACTTAGAGTAATTAAAGTAGTAAGCCGGGGGTTTGGGCTTAAAAGATGAATGAACCAATTGGCGGGCCTAACTTTGGGGCCACCAGTTGAATAGCCCTGATCTATGGAGACTAATCAGTGCCAATCGACACACATCAGAGGCATTAGGGATTAAGTGTCTTGTCCAAGGACACAACAACTGAGACAGCTAGATGGGGGATCGAACCGGCAACCTTCTGGTTCCAGGACGACTCCCCTAACCACTCCGCCACAGCCGCCCCAAAGATAAAACTATTAGGATGTCTTCTGGCTACTTTCCTAACCTATCCATCTCTAAGCTGCCAGTAATCATTCAATGTTTTTTTTTTCCAAAAATGAAGCAAGCTTCACAGAACCAAAAGAGGCGTGGAGCAGATGTCTACCCCATTATTTGTCAAACATGACAAATTAACTTGATTTAACAACCCTCTTTGTTGTTGACCAAAGTTTTTAACTAAATGCACAGTTCTAGTAAGTCGTCATCAATTTTCTCCCTGTAATGAATCTGTTTGTTGTCATGTAGGTATTTAAACCCTTCACATCCTCGAGCCAGAAAGCTGATTTATCTCTTCATATGCACACTTTTACAGCTCTGTTACTACCTCGCTTGGCAGCACAAAGGCACAACAGCAACAGGCTGACTTCAGCCCTGCCCTCATGCCATCTCGGTCCGTTCAGAAATCACAACAAGATGACCAGAAAGTCCTTGAGGTGTCTAAGCCTTGAAGTGTTTTGTGAAAGCGCCTATTGACAAGACATTGTGTTTACCTAACAGAACTGGTAATAACCCATGAGAAAATCATTGAGTTCCATTGTTGTAGCCTTGGCTTCAGTTGGTATAAAAGCTTACAGAGAGAGAGACACAATAGCATTAATGTTGGATGTCTATTAAGATAAGAGGGTATCTGTACGTGTGATCAGCCCGACTGACAATAAGATATGCTGAAGCTGCAGGCATCATCCCTTAAGAGTCTGGAGGTAAGTACTTGACACCGACAATCAGAAAGAAAGAAAGATAGACAGCCTCCTTGCAAAACAGCGACAAAAAAATTGACAGGTAAAGTCACCCCAGCACAGATATTGACTGACAGAATCAGGATTATCTGTGAGACAAGCTTTTAAACGGCTGCAGGAAGTAGAGATGCTCACAGATAGTGACGTGTAAATGATAACCACTCAAACACAAAGGGGCAACACCGTCAGCTGCTACATTTCTCACCTCGTAACGGCGACTTCATGGCGGCTTCCACCATGCCCACGAGTAGCTGCAAACTCTTGGGGTCTTGGGCCAGCCCCGAGGCAAAGGCGGCCAGTGCGTCTGCATGGCGACCAAGGTACTGAAGGGCAACACCCTGTCGGAAGTATGCCTGTAACGAGAAGGGAGGGGGGAAAAGAGTTATCAGAGCTCTGGCCGTTTGCCACAGCATGGGGTTTAATTCAAACACATTACCAGACACACTCATTTCACGCCATTTGCATTTTTAACACATGAGCAGTTTCCCGAACATGGCACCTTCCTGCATTGTATTCCCATTATAAACTGATCAGTGAGTTTTTTGTACTTGTTAATTGGATTATAAGTTTTACATAAATGCACATGTTACACTCTGGCTGGCTGCCTCCTTAGGAACGACTCTAGTTTCTCTGTTTGATTTTTTCCTTCTTTCTCCTCTCTGCCTCTCTCTGTGTTTGCTGAGAGAGTAAACTGTTCTAGTAAAGCACTGGGATTTCTCTTTGGCATTGTCTGAGTAAAAAGTAAAGAGAAAGAGAAATGAGAACAAGACAAACGCTGCTAACTGAAGTCTGTCTATAGCCTTCCTCTAAAAACACTCATTAATACCTCAGATAGTACAATTCCCTTTGACAGTCAAGTGCCACACATGCAGCTAGAGACGAAGAATGGCTTTTCAAGCAGACAAAAATTAAACTGATTTGTCATTTAGTCATTTATTCATGGAGCTGTGAGTTTCCCATGAACTGACAAACTTTGTGCAACTTGTGACAGATTGTATCATATCGTCAGAGACTAGAATGTTTTGGAGCGTTCCGAGGACTTAAACCAAAAACAGATGTCTCTGAGATCTGAAGCCCCATCAATAAGTGTGTCTTATTTTTTTTTCCTTCGAAACGTCTTTCTAGATTCATTTGAAAGAAAACAAAAAGTTTCATCAGAGCACATGACTTCATTTGTTTGTGTCTGAGGCCTGATCAGACAATGATCCAAGTGAGTTGTTAAATCTGACTCTGGTCCAGTCTAGCAACAACCAAAGTGAGAGATGGAATGAGACTGAACTGGTTATTCGCGATCCAAACCACTAAACCCTCCAAAGAGAAGGCTCTCAGAACTGTTGGCTCTTGTCTTAGAAACACACAATCACAGCTATAAATCATGGCGGAAAAGGGACACGGAACAATGTGGAAAAAAAAGAAAACTGTCATAAGGTAGAAGCATAACCTTCTTATTTTGGGGGGCAGGGGGCAGTCCAGGCTGCCACCTCACCGTATCCTCAGTGAGTCGGCAGTCATTCCACTCAGCTTCCAAAAGTGACATGAAGGCTAATTTGCCATTAGCATCTAAGAGGCCTTTTCATTAGTCTTTCCAATCCTCTCTGTTAGAACCACTAGGAAGTGAGAAAGGCTGGGAGGATTAAAGAAAATGAGACATGACATTGAATTTATAGAGACCAGTAATTAATTTTGCTTCCGTCTGAGCCCCACTCAGACTACCAATCTCTCTCCAAACTCCCCTCCACCTCCCCTTCCCTCCTCAACAGTTCCATCTCCCTTCACTCGCAGTGCAACTCTACTAAAAATGACGAGGACAGAGATTAAATTCAAAGCATTAACCTTTGTTCTAATGCTGCTATTATATGACGGGAGCGCAGGCCAGGGTACCTGTTCAATATTAATCGCATTTTAAAACGGAGGAGTTTCCAGCAGGATGCACCGGTTAGAACCGATGGGCCCCCTAAAAAAGAAAAAAAAAAACATATATGCGCTTTGCCCAAGGGAACGAAAGACATTCAAAGGCACTTCTCTCTTTGATTAGATTTAGCCTACAATATGTCTGCCATTCTTTTTTTTTCCATTCCCTTAAGCGCTGGGGCCATACGGAGCCAAACGGGGAAAGAAAAGGAAGAAAATACAATTGATAAAATAAAGCTCACTTCAATCCAAAAATAACGTTCTTTATGTTTGTTTCATTGTAAGTCCTCCTCTCTCACTTATGGTTGAGAACTTGGCAGAAAATGTAATAAACAGAGCACATAAATAAAAGAAAATATAAATAAATAAACACCAAATGGGAAAAATGATAGAGTCAATGTGCTGAAGAGCCTTATAGTGTTTTTCTTTTTCATTAATCTCCTGCTGCCTTCATATGACATGATGTGCTTGCATAAAGACAAATTTACAAAACGCTCTTAGCTGCTACATAATCCAACTCATCACTTCAAACTGAACTGCTTATGAAAGGCTTTCATTCATTTTACATCATCGCAGCTGATAATAATAACAATAATAATAATAATTAAATATAGCTGGAAGAGCAATAATGCATGAGGGAAGGCCTTGCATTCCTTAAAACAAGATTTTAGACTGTGATCATCTTATGTTGAGAAACTTTGGAGATGTAGTCATTTTGGTTAAACTCTGAACAAATTCTTATGTTGTCAGAATCAAAGTATGGTTTTTGAATGACTCTCAGCTACTAACTCATATAAATTCCAGCTCAATTTCTGTAGAACGTATTGAATTATCATTTTAGTGCTAGCTGATGTAGATTAGGTGTGCCGGCCATCTTAAATTGTATTGACTCCAAAAATGAAACATTTGTAAGTATGAATTCAGTGATTACTTCCTCCAAGTTTTATTAAAATCTATTTAATGGTTAATGGGATATTGTGCTATCAGACAAACAGGGTTGACTTCAACACTTGATGCTTGTTTCATGTAAAAGAAATTATTCAGTAAGTAGCACTTAGTGCAGGGTTACTCACTTCTGGTCCTAGAGGTCCGCAGCCCTGCACGTTTTACTCGTTTCTCTGCTCCAACACACCTGACTTGAATGAATGGATGATTTTCAGGCTTCTACAGAACTTGGAAGAGGTAATTCACAGACTGAATCAGGTGTGTTAGAGAGCTAAATAGAGCTAATCAAGCCTATTGTTAGGCGATGGCCCTCTTTTGCATGTGACTAACCTGTTTTTCCACCATGTGGAGGCAGTGCTTATAAGGCTGAGTTCACCTGAAACTCTTCAGACTGAAGGTCTCTTTAAGGAGAGACAAAACGTTTCACTAAAGAAGAACTCATCCAGAGGACCTACTTATTTTTTTTTCTTTTTGAAGTACTTTGAATGATTATTTCCTGAACGTTTCAATAAAATCCATCTAGTGGTTTGTCGGATATTTTGCTAACTGAGAAACAGTGTTGACTCTAGGCTAAATTTTAAACAAAAATCCTGCAAAATCTGTTAGAACTCAGAATGTGTTAGTTAAGGGATCATTCTCAGATACTACCACACCACAGTTTAGGCCAGGGCTATTCAACTGACTGCCCGCGGGCCACATCGGGTCCACAAGTGACCAAAGTTCGGCCCGCCAATTGGTTCATTCGACTCTTAAGTCCAATCCCCCTGATTTCTACTTTCATTACTATAAGTTATTTTCGTTAAACATAGTCATGTTTGGTATCTACAGAAACGTCAGAATCTCAGCTAGAAGCTGGTAAAACCATTTCTACACTCACTCAAGACAGTTAAAATTACAAGCAGTTGAAAATAAAACTACGAAAGTGAAAATAAAATTGGTTTAAAAATCAAGTCAGAGACGTCAAAATAATATTTGTGTCAAATAGGTGGCATTATGTGTTCTTTTTGTTTTTGATATTGCTTAATAATCACTACTTTTATAGGGTACTGTATGTTGTATTCATGATTAAATACAGGAAAATAAACTATTTCAAAGTTAACAGATCTTTTTAATACTTGGTTTATTTACATAATTACTGTAACTGCGGGAGGTTCGGCCCCTGAGTTGCTGACCTGCAGTAACTGTAGCCCTCGGATGAATAGCCCTGGTTTAGGCCAATATCTCTCAATTTTAGAGTTATAGATATTTTTGTGGTTTTTGAGTAAGTTGGCTGCAAAGGCCATCTTGAAATGGGTTAACTCAAAATGTTAATCTGTTCTAGTAAAGACTACTTTCTACAAGTTAAAATTTGTTCACAACACCCTGTTAACTATGGGCAATAAAAATGAAGCAAGCAATCAAATGCATTAAAAGTTTATAGTTGTTCACAGTGAAAGTTTAAGCTGGAGCAAAGGCACCAGTGAGTTAACTGCTGTCGTCACTGAAGAGCTAGTTTCCTTTTTACTTTATTTTTCTTCACTATTTTGGGTAAAGAGAGCTGCGTTTTACCCTCAACACATTTCTTAAAAATCACGCTTAACAGGATCTTTTCTAAAAACACAGCAGCATCTGCTTAGAGCTGCTGCTCCAGTGATTAGCACAGCCTCTAGGTTTTAGCCCGACAGAAAGACAAATTGAGCGAAAGAGATTGGGAGTAATACAGCAGGAGGAAAAAAGAGAAAGAGAGAGCACTCCACAGATTAACTTTGCCTCGTAAGCATACAGCATTAGAGACGAAATTGAGTGGTATAAGTGAGCGCTTAATCTTTGAGCCAAAAGCATCTAACCCAAAAAAAAAAAAAAAAAACCAGGAAGCATGACGGAGAATCACTCAAAGTTCAACAGAACACTTGCATGCCCTGAAATGTGATGCATCTGTTACGCATCTTGTACAACATAATTTAAACCAACCACAGCTTCAAATGATTTGTTTTGCCTAAACTTCAATTTGGGGTAAATTATACAACATTTCTTGCATCTTTTATTTAAAGCTGAAACCAGAGCACATGGCTCTAGCAGGAAGGCTTGTCGTTCTCAGCCGTGGGTAAATTCAAAGTGTTACATGTCACCATGTGAGATAATGTGTGCTTGAGGAAAATTCAAAAACAAAAAATAAGGAAACACAGAGAATAACGTTACAAAATACCTAAAAATAAGGAGAAAGGATAAAAGCTTTTCATCTTTTTTTAACATTTTAATATTTCATGAATGCTTGTTTGATGTAGTTTTAAATATTCATGCTTTATGCTTAAGAGGACGAGGGCAAATGATGCAAAAAAATCTCCTTAATACACTCCACTACACACAGTGAGGAACCAACATACTGTACATGCAAAAAAATAATAATTATAATAATAATAAAAAGCCACTCATGCACATTACTTCATGTGCATTCTTTCGTACTAACACGGCACTTACGTTGAAATATGGACAATTTCTCTTTCAGTGACAGCTCTGT